GTCAGTGGTGTGCTTCATGGTCCGTGGGTCATATCCATTGTGTCGCTCTTGAATCACAGGGTCAAATATCTCAGCAAACACCTGAAAGGAGAGGGAGAGGTGATTAGAGAGAAGAAATTCTTTTTTACACTTCAATTATGGATTGATTTTACTGGGTCCAAAGGCTTGCATATGGACAGTCTAGTCTTGAGGGAATAGGAGGGATCTTTAGGGAGAAGGAACAGGGATTACTGGCAAGGCAACTAGGGTCAGCAAGGAAACTCTGAGGGCCCCTACCTCATAGGTCTCCTCATCCCCAGCCACCATGCCCACAGTCTTGATGAAGGGGTGGCCAGGGTTGTCCACTCCAGTCTGGATGCACTGATCTAGCGTCCAACCAGTGGGTGTGGTCTTGTCGCAGAGTCGTGCATAGACTGCTGGGGTCAGGTGACTGGCCATGCAGTTGTTGTGCTTTCGGAGGTCTGGGTACTCAGCGCTGGGGAGGGGGGTACCCAGTAACCATGGAGGGAGAGCACTGAGACCTAGACCCAGGGCTGCCAGCTGGGAGCTGTCCAATTAGCCATGTCTGACTCCGTGGGAGGAGGGGGATAAGAGGTAGGCTTAGCCTGGATAATCTCTTTAGGGACTTTCAGGGTCTGTTCTTTCCCAATAGTTTTAGCTGCCTGTGGCTAGCTGACTCAGTTCTCCCAGACACGAATAGTTCTTTCCTCACATAAACACATTAGGGATGGGGGAGGGGAAAGACTAAAGACTTCAGGAAATAGGGGCGGGCAGCAGGAAAAGGAGACGGAGGGCAAAAGGAGTCCCTGGCTTTCGGATGATGACTTGAGCAGTGGGTGAAACTAGAACTCCTGGGGTCAGAGGTGGTCTCGGTGACGGTGGGTTGCAGGTCCCAAGAAATGCTCTTACTTGAAGGACTTGGGTTCATTCCCATCCTCCCGAAGTCTCCAAGACCTCCGGAATAAGGCCCTTGTCTGCGGTACACGTGCCCCTCTCTACTCCCCTCGTTCCCATTATACCACCCCCTACACCCCTGCCCGGGAGCTGATACCTTGGAGGATACAGTCTCCGGCGCTGCTTGCGAGCGGCTTGCACAGGTTCCGGGCGGAGTAGAAGGCCAGCGACCAGAGACCCAGCTCCTGCCAGAGCCAGGAGTCTGAGCCCAGGGCGGGCGGATGGCAGACGGGAGAAGACACCAGCCATGGCTTCCCGGAGCAGGACCTAGCGCCAGACGGTGACGGGAGGGAGGATGCAATCGGGTGGATGGAGGGTCGGAGCTGAGCCAAGGCTGAAGCCAAAATGGGGATCTGGATGAAGCTGAGGCCGGAGCCGGCGCCGGTGCGGGCGGTGCAGGGGTGCAGGCGAGGCGCAGCGCGCTGGCGGCAGGCGGGAGGAGGCCGCGCCGCAGTCCCCGGGGGTGGGGCTCCAGGGCCCCGCCCTCCGCCTGCCGCCGCGTGGGATGCGGGACGCGGCGGGGGCGGGCGGCTCGGGCCAGGTGCCGGGAGGACCCAGGCTCGCTGTCCGAGCCGGGGGTGCGGGACCACCTGGGCCCCTGCCTGGATTTCAGCACCGAGTAGAGGACAGCACCACGGGACTGGCGAACCCGAACACCTCCCGCTGGCCCCCTTGTTTTAATCCGAAACCTGATCCTTCTAATATGTGAGCGTGAAAGGGTGACTTTGCTCAACTCTAGGTTTTCGACTTCTCCATCTCCCCAGGGGAGAAGGCCACGGGGAAACCGCGGAATAAACCCAGAAACCAGAAGAAGATGCGGAGAAAGCCCACGGGTAGAGCCATACTGGAGAAGCGACCAGCTGGCTCAAGGTCACCTTTTCCTAAGAACCAGGAAGAACACCAAGGCCCCTCCCAGTTACACTTGTGCTTTCCTAACAAGGTTGAGAAAGAATTCCCTGACAGCAACCAGGAAATGCCAACTCTTACCCCATCTCTGCTGTGTGCCCCCCATCCCAACTCTCCTCAGGTCTTTGGCCCTGTTATTTCCTACTTCCATTCTTTCGTCCCCTACCTCTGCCCGCATTCTTCTCCCTATCCCTACTTCACCTTTGATCCTTTTCTTTCTCCTTTCCAGCTCAGACCTCTTGGCCTCTCCAGGACTCCCTGTGAGCAGTCAGTGTAAGCTTGCCTACCTGTTGGTTGCACTCACTGGGTGTGGGGCTGGGGCTAAGCAGGGAATTGCTAGCTTCCTCTTCCTTCTCTTCTGTCTCTAGCACACTCTTGGGTTGGTCAGGGAATATAAAGGGAGGAGAAGGGTGTGGTGAGATGACTGGGCGTGGAAAAGAACAGGCAGACACAGGTCTGCAGGCCCCACCTGTGTTTCCTCTCCTGGCCCCCTAGTGCTGTGTAAGCCAGAGTGTGAGGTGAGCGGTGTCCAAGGGCGTCAGTCAGATCATCGGGGAATCTCTGCCTTCTTTCTGGGCCCCTCCCCCAATAAAGTGTGTACACATTCAGCTCTGAGAGGGCTTTGTTTCCACAGTGTGACTTAGGTGTGACTTGTCCTGGCAGGTGGGAGAATTAATGGATGTTTGTTATGATAATGAACTTGATAAAAACTTATAAATACATAAATAAATAAATATGATGCTGGTGCCCCTCCAAAAAAAAAAAGGCAGGGTGGGGAGAAGCTTCAGTATGGAGGGTCAATTAAGGTGGGGTGGACAGCACATACTCTCTTAGTCCCCTCCTGCTCTGACGGTACATCTACAAGACAGTGACATGCTTGGGAGTGTAAGAGTCAGTATTTGGGGAAGAGGAACTCCCTTCCTGTTGTTCTCTGGCCTCACTGACGACTCTTCAGTTCACCTACCTATACCATCATCCCCTTTATTGCTCTCAGGCCTCCCTTATGCCTTTTCTCTTACTTTCCTTGTTTGTGGGTATCCTTAGATGCTATCCGCCTCTCTTGTGGGTCCGTCACTTAACTCCCTCTCCCAAGAAGACAGCAAATATCAGAGAGCAGGTCGAGTTGTGCAGTTAGAGTGTGGTTACTCTGGGAGGGACAGAAAATGTTACCTGTGCTGCAGGTGCTTATTACCTAGGCTGAAGAGTAGCTATGAGTAAATGAATATAACTACTGGTATTTGAAATGATGCATATTTACCCAGATAAAAGAGGGAGATCGTCTTCCAGAGCAGCAGGGTTGTTATTTGAATGAGAGAGTGACAAGAACATAGGACAGGGGATGAGAGAATTAAGAAGAGAAAGAGAAATAAGACATCCAAAAGAATAGAAAAAATTACTCAAATTTGGAGAGTAGCTGCCCATATTGAAATAAAAGCTCCTCTGAGAAGACTTGGGTATTTGAGTACTTTTTTTTTTTTTTTGTAGTGCTGGAAATTGAACCCAGTGTAGAAGATAGTTTATTTAGTTAGCTTTTGAGTGAGGCAGCTAGCTAGAAGGGCCTGAGGTAGAGTTGGGTGGCCAGCCATGTTGATAAGTATTTTAAAAAGAGTAGATGGTAAACTAGGATTCTGATCCAAGGATGAGCTTCCTCGTACAAAGGGATACAGCCTACTAATTACCTGAGTCCTGAGAAAATTAAAATGTAAAGTAATCATTTCTTTTCCCTCTCAAACCTCACATTCCTTTAAATTCTATATGTTGAAGAACTGAGCTCCAATGGATCATTTTATTTTATTTTATTTTTTGTCTTTTTGAAACAAGGTCTTACTATGCAGTTCAAGCTGACCTTGAGCTCACTTTGTAGCCCACTCATTTTGAACTCACATTAATCCTCCTGCTTCAGCCTCCCAGGTGCTGGGATTACAAGTGTGCACCATCACATCTGCTCCAAAGGGTCATTTTAGAAGCCTGAGTTCCAACGGATCATCTTAAATCTATACAGCCACCTGTGAGAGGTGGCCACAAAATAACTGAGCAATTCTTGTTCTGTACTTCTCTGTAATTAGCTCTGGATGGTGGAGCCATGGAGTCACACACTTAGAACCCTCCTAGAATTCCAGGAGCTATTCTTATTATTCCCAATCAAACTCCTGTAACCACCTCTTTGGTTCACATGACTTCCTTCCTTTAGGGCTGGAACCATGACTTTGATACATGGTAACAATAAGAGAAGTTAAATACCTGGAAGAAGCTGTAATGACACGTGTGTGAAGGGCTGGAGTGGAGAATTGTATGAGCCTGACCTAGGGTGACATCTATTCTTATAGCTGTCCTTAGACTCCTCTTTCTCTGATCAGGAGACCTCGGGGGTTAGTACCAGAAGCCACCTGGCTGAGAAAGTGGCACATTTGCTAAGGCTGCACAGAAGACACTGGGTACTTGAAACTTTCCTGGCCAGGGAAAGAACAGTGCAAATGCATGCAGACTTCTACATAACTAGCACCCTATGTATTAGGTTTTAAATCACACTATCACCGATTAGAAAAATGGAGTCTCAGGGAAATTAAGTAACTTGCCCAAAGCTGCACAGCTGTTAAAAGTAAGACCAGGATTCAAACCCAGCTTTGAGGTTTCAACCTGTCCAGTCTTCCATGTTCACCCATTTTCGTGGGTGCTTCATACTTAAATCTCTCTGTTCCTTTAATTTTTTAATCTGCTTCTCTCTCTTTTTTTAAATCGCCAATCTCCCTGTCATTCCTCTATACATATTATATTTTCAGCCTATATTATTGGCTCTTGCTCTATATATACCACATTTTAACCTATAAAACAAAAGATCTGGTTTGGGGGTCAAGGAGGTGCAATGGTGCAAACTCTGCCTCTTCCCCCGATCTCGCTTGCAGCCCTTCGCCGCGGTCCCACGGGAGGTTTCCACCCAATGCCAGGCGCCAGGACTGGGACAGTGGCTGCGTACTTAGAAATCCCAGGCCGAGGGGTATCAGGCTGCAACCCCGGTCAGCGCCACTAGGGGCTACCCTCGTCCGCGCAGAAGCGCCGGCCAACGCAGCCTGACTGTTGCCGGTGCGCGCCCTTCGCTGATTGGTGACACCGCAAAGAAGTCGCAGTCTGATTGGGTCGCTGTCAGGTGTCGCTGCTGGCATGTTGGGCTGCGCGGCGGAGGGAGGCGGGTGAGTGCGGGCCGGGGGCGCGGGGGAGTGGCTGGGCTGGGGGCGGTATCGGGGGTGGGCTTGGCGGTGTGCAGGCTGCGGGGGCCCCGGGGGCGGCTGAGGAGAGGGGGGCGGTGGAGAGGCCTCGGGGAGGCGGGGAGCTGGGCGGGCAGGCTCGTGCGGTCGGGACGGGGACTGCGCTCGTTCCCCAAGCCGTGAGGAGGGCGGCGGGGTCGGCGGGAAGATGGGTGCGGGTCCTTGGGGGGCCGGGCGCGAGCGCGGGGTTGGCGCGGCGGTGCTGCAGCGCCCAGCGAGGACGCCCTCGCGAGCGGGTGCTGCGAAGGGCAGGGGTCTTCGGAAAGGGCAGCCCGGGCAGGCACTGCGGGGCCTGGGGCTCGGCGGGAAGGTGTCACCAAGAGTGGTGACTCTTGTGCGGGCTGGAAGATCCATTTGAATCCCGGTCGGGTGGGCGGACTCCTTGGATTGGCAGTCACCGAGTGTCCGGGGCTCCGAGAAGAGTCCCTGGAATCACTCGAGAGAGGAGACAGGACGGGGACAGGCGGCGGAGCAGCGGCGGAAGATGTGTGTGAGGAGGCTGCAAAATGTCATTCGGGGAGACGCGACAGCCGCTGCTCCAAGTGGGAAAAGATAGTGTTGGCGGCCCGAGGAGATTTTCAGTATTGGAAGTACTCCCTGACCAGTGCCGGCCTTGCAGCAACCGCCAGGAGATTTCAGAAATTGGAGGAGTACACAAGCAATCCGAAATCGCAGAGGACAAGGGGGTTGCCTGGTTCACTTCCTTCTCCGCTGCTGCAGACCTAGTCTAACCCATGTGTTCTTGAAAAGATCACCCACCTGCCTCTCTTTCCCCGCTCACTGTACTAGACTGCTTTTTAGCCCAGGGCAGAGCCAGAGGTTTGCTTTTGCAGCAAGGGGAGAGAATGAGAGGAGGATGACAGGGAAAGAGCGTAGAGAGCGGTTGTGGTTTTGGGAACGCCACATTAAAATCCAGCTTCTCCCAGAGGTACATATAAATAAATCCTGGCTTATTTCACAGCTATTTCCGTCAGACTTCTATTTTAGCTTTGTTAACTGTGAATTTGGCCTTCATCTCTTTAGCCCATTATCTGTGAACAGACTGTTCCACCCTATTCTATTATTTACTAACCCCCATTGTATTAGAATTCAAGAGTATGACTGTATTTTCATCTTAAAAAAAAAAAAAAAACAAGAAGAAAACAAACTCAGAATGGATATAGTGGAATAAAGGACAAAGCGCTAGGAACATTAGACACAAGAAGAATCTCCTGCCTCAGAGTGCAACAAAATTCTAAGTGGTGAAACTATGCAGGAAACTTGGGAATGCCACAAGTCATGGAAGTTGGGTCATACCACTAAAAAGGAGTTCAGAGAAATAGCCTGTGTGAGGACACAGGGCACAACAGGCCATGGAGGCTGAACAGTTGAGACAGGAGGTGCTGAAGACTGGAAAGGGAGAGGTCTATGTGAAGGTCATCTGAAACTTGCTAATTGAAACTATAAAGCCCAGTTGCATGAAGAGTTTAAAAAAAAAAAAAAGTAATTATTGGAGATTACCTAGGAGACTAAATTCATTTACTTAAGGAGTTTGTGACTTTTAGTAGAGTTATCTGTCAGTGTTTCTGAGAACTTTTGGAGACCATAGGAAACTCCTGATATGTGACTCAAGTCTTATTTTTGGAAAATAATGACAGGTGCTCATGTTCCTACAATTCACTATTAACATATGTTACCGTTTGCTTCAGATCTATTTAAAAATTGAAATAAACATTGTAGGTAAGGTTGTGAAGTACCATGTGAATCTGTCTTCCATTTGCCTTTTTTCCCTCAAAGGTAGCCACTATCCTGTGTGTGTGTGTGTGTGTGTGTGTGTGTGTGTGTGTGTGCTTATTAGTGGGAATTAAGCCAGGGCCTTTGTACTGGGCTACATCCCCAGCTCTTTTTTATGTTGAGACAGGGTCTTGGTAACTTGCTAAATTGCCCAGGCTTGGCTCAACTAGCTATCCTCTTACTGCAGCCTCTCAGAGTGCTGGGATTACAGGCATGTGCCACGAGCCCAGTTTATATTATAAATTTGTTGTCTTTCTTTCTAGTCTATGTTTTTATACTTTTCCTAATTACACATGTAGTCATAAATGTGTAATATTGTTTACTTATACAAGTGGAGTTGTAATCTGCATATCTCTGTGGTTTGCATTTGGAAACTGTCCATTCATTACACATAGCTCTGGTTCATTTTTGAAGTTACTATTAGTGTGCTGTTTCTGTATACTGTGTTGTATTTATCCATTCTTCTGTCCATGGCAGCTGAACTGTTTTCAGTTTTGCCATGAGCAACACTGAGGTTGAGAAGGTGAACAGCTTTGCACATGTATCCTTACAGGGAATCATTTCTCTAGGCCAGGATTTCTCCACTTTGGCACTGTTGACATTTGGGACATATTGACATCTTTGTTGTGGGGACCTCATACACTTTTGGTAATGTTCAACAGCACCCTTGCCCTCTACTTACTAGATGCTAGTAGCAATGTCTCAGTTAAGATAAAAGTGTCTCTTTCCCTGGCAAGCGCAAGGGCCTGAGTTCAATCCCTGGTTCCGCAAAAAAAAAAAAAAAAAAAAGATAAAAGTGTCTCTAGGGGCTGGTGATATGGGGATATAGCTCAGCGGGCTAAGTGTCTGCCTGACAAGTGCAAGGTCCCAAGTTTGATTCCTGGCACACACACACACACACACACAAAGACTAAACTGTCTCAGCCAAATGCCTCCTGTACAGGAAAATCACAGCTGGTTGAGAGCTACAACTCTAGGTGTATGTATGCGGAAGTGACACTGCCAGCTTGATCTGACTAAAGTTACAGTTGTAGATGTTCTTACTGATATGGCTTTAGGCCGGATTTTCTGTTTTTCACTGTGGCTCCTGATGTGAAAGACCTTGCCCTAGGCCCATGCTAGTTTTGTAGTATTGGAATGGTGGATAGAAAATTGTGGTTTTTAGGGCAAGTCTAGGCTACATGGTGAGTTCAGGGACAGGTTGAACCAGATAGCCTAGTGAGGCTAGTGAGAGCTTGTGAGATCTTGTTTCAGAAAAAAAAAAAAAAGTATGAACTGAAACCACAATTTTTTTTTTATTTTTTTAATTTTTTTAATTTTTTATTTTAAGGAAGGGTTTATAGAGTGTTCAGGGTCTCACTACTAGATCAGACTCGTAGTGATCCCCCTGTTTACAGCCTCCCAAGAGCTGGGATTACAGGCGTGTGCCACCACGCCCAGTCTCAATTGCCATCTCAGTATGGCCAGCCAAGTAGCTCAATGGATTAAAGCGCCTGCAAGCAGGGGCTAGGGGTTCAATCCCTGGGCCTGCCATGCCAGCCCTGCTCCTGGGGTATACTGAGATGGCAACTGAGACTGGGCATGGTGGCGCACGCCTGCAATCCCAGCTCTTGGGAGGCTGTAAACAGGGGGATCACTACGAGTCTGATCTAGTAGTGAGACCCTGAACACCCTGTAAAAAAAAAAAAAAAAAAAAAAAAAAAAAAAAAAAAAAAAAAAAAAAAAAAAAAAAAACCCAAATTGTGGTTTCAGTTCATACTTTCATTTTTTTCTGAAACAAGGTCTCACAAGATCTCACTAGCCTCACTAGGCTGTCTAGTTCAACCTGTCCCTGAATTTACCATGTAGCCTAGACTGGCCTCGAACTTGCAGTGATTCTCATGTGCCTCACCTTCCCAATGCTGGGATTGCACTACACCAGGCTAGATTTTTTTGTTTTGTTTTTTGAGACAACATCTTGCTATATAGTTCAGGCAGAACTTGAACTGACTATGTAGCTCAGGCTGGCTTCAGACTTAAGTGATCCTTCTGCCTTAGCCTCCCAAGTGCCAGGATTTCTATTTGAGAACGGACTGGAGTCTGCTGTGAATATGCTTGCAACTTGAACAATCTGACTAGCACTAGGCTTCTTTCCCTTAACCTAGCGCTGGGGGCACAGACTTTAATATTCTGATATAATGCTTAGAATGGAGGGTACTCTCACGGAATTTTTTTTGAACTAATCCTTGGTAGGAATGAAGATGGATTTTAAGAACAGAGGCATTGGGGCTGGAGATGTGGGTCATGGTAGAGTTTTTGCCTTGCATGTGTAAGGCTCTAGGATAAATCCACAGCATTATTTGAAAAGCAAACAAAACTATCAGCTAATAAGTAGATGTTGTTTGGGGGCTGGGGATACAGCTTGGCAGTACAGCGCCTGCCTAGGGAAGTGCAAAGTCCTGAGTTCTATTCCTGGTACAAAAAAAAAAAAAAAAAAAAAAAAAAGGAAAGAAAGAAAGAAAAGAAAAAAGAACAGGCAACTGAGTTGTCTCATTCCTATGCTCTTGAACTAAATCTGAGTTCATCACTACTGGGGGGAGGTGGCGAAGGGCTAAAAACATTGTGGAACAAAGCCAGAATTTGAGGTGTTGCTCTAAACTTCTCTTCTGGCAGGAGTCAACAGTAGCCTTCCTTGAAGAACTGCCTCTTCCATTTGCTGCCTGGAGTTCACGTTGTTTCCTGCTGGCAGAATCAGGGACATGCCAGCACCGTAAGGCTTAATATCCCAATCCTCTTACTAATTGTTGATAGGGGTGGGGAAAGTGGGAAAGAAAAAGAATATCTTGCTTTCCTTTTATGGCTCATAAATAACTTCACATCATAGTCCAAAGCCTGGTTTCTTGTTGATCTTCCTGTAGCTTTGTTTCCTGTTTCAGCTTGTACCTTTGTAGTTCCCTCTTTATTTTCTAGTTCCCCATATCCTATTCCCACCCACGGCTAAGGGGTTTGGATTCTGAGCTGATGGGGTACCCACCTCTGCAGAGCGGGATGAGTGGGTGTTCCAGTGGGGATGTGGTCGCTGACGGCCAGTGAGGACAAGAGCACCACGGCCCACTTCTTCCTCGGAGCTGGAGATGAGGGGCTGGGCACCCGTGGAATAGGCATGAGGACAGAAGAGAGTGACAGTGAGCTACTTGAGGATGAGGAAGATGAAGTGGTAAGACTGGGGAAGATGGTATAACTTGGTGTGGGTCTCTTGCCATAAAGATTCTTTAAAAAAATTTTTTTTTCATATAGTTTCTCTGTGTAGCACAGGCTGGCCTTGAACTCATTGCGATCCTCCTGCTTGGATGCTGGGATTATAGGCATACACTACCATGCCCAGCTGAGAGATGAGATCTGGATAGAGACATCTCCCTGTTCTTTCCAATGCATAAACACCTTGCCCTGAATAGCCCCTATTCTGAATTAGGAGCGGGGCAGTGGAGATTGATTGGTTGATTGCCTGTCTTTAAAACTCTCACTCAGGGCTGGTGAGATGGCTCAGTGGTCTAAGGCACCTACTTAGAACAAACTAAGCTAAACAAAGCAC